GGCGCTGAGTATATTTAGTGGTCTCTACAACATACTATTTCGATTGATGAGAGTGGCGTCGACACAGCAAACACATTATCATGGGGAATATCAGAAGAGTTGTTGGTGGGGAGCTCGTGGCTTACTTTGTATTCGACAATCGATGCGCCAGTAGTGGTTTGGAAACAGCAACTTGCGAACCCGGTGAAGTTCGCGAACTTCTCGTACGATTCGTCATTTATTGCCTCGAGTGGAAAATACGATAGATTTGTGAAGATATGGAGGAGATTATCATTTGGAAACGACGACTCGAGATTCGATTTTACCTATCTACCACATCCGCGGACAGTCACGAATATGCACTGGAGAAGGCCGTTCCATATCGACCAAACAATTGATAATGTGCTATATACAGTGTGCGCGGACAATTTGCTAAGGATTTGGGTACCTACAGATGTGCATTCATTACAGAGTCTACAACTTTGGGGTCGGATCGATTTACAGGAATCTATACAACCGAGAGGATTGGACGGGGAAAAGGTGTCAAAATTACGATTCGCATTTATCATTGATGGGAGAGATTTTACGGTTGCCACGGAACATGCAGTGCGAGAGATAGAAGCGACCGACTCGAAGGAGGACCATGCCCTGGCGCATTTGATCGAAGTTGCGAATCGAAATCCGGAAATATGTGTTGTATTGGATGAACATGGACATCTATCTGCATGGGGGCTGGAGAACATTGGGTCTAAAACGAAACAACCCACGAACATTTTTAACATTGCACATGTCGATGGCCTAGAACTAGGCTTGCCAGCGGAATTGGGCGATGACGCAAGTCATGTTCAGCTTTATAATTTCTGCAACCATCCTGGTGGTAACCTCAATGTTCTAGTCCATCATTTTGATGGGAAAATTGAGTTTTTCGAAGCCAACGTAGCCAACTTATTTGACCCTTCACCGAGGTCACATCGACTCAAGTCGAAAGCTTTATGGACAGGTCATTCAGCTGCCATCAAGAAGATTGTGCGTAATGTCAGTGGACGAGCAGTAGTTTCACGAACGGATGGCAACGAAAGTATAGTTTGGAAGCATATGGAACATGCGGGTGGAACTTCAGTATTCCGCCAAAGTATTATCACACAATCTGAACACGTCCATAGAATATGTGTCATGAGAAAGGGAAACTTCGTGATCTATTTACACCACGATCACATTACCCTATGGGATACTAGACAATCTGTAGCGGTCAAACTAGCAGATTGTAAATTTTCGATCATAGGGAAACCTTTGTGTATTCTCATGCTACCTGAGGTTAATAAGGGGGGCCCTGTTGCTCATGTCGCTACGATTACTTCAAAGATGAAGGGCATTGTATGGGAGGTCAGATTACCCCAGAGAAGGGGAAGTGCTCGAGTCAATGGATACCATCAAGAAGCTTCCATTCGCGAATTTTGTCAATTTGACCTTGGAATTGATGACGATTTAGCCTATGTTCTACCAGTGGATCCAGCTGGGTCCCCACCAGTTATCTCTGGATTCTTAGATACTTTTGCAAGAGATATCGCAATTTCCTACACGCATTCTGGACTATTAAGATCTTGGACCGCCAGGATTGACATTGAGAAAGAAACAGTTGATTGGCTACAGACTTGTTCAGTAGATACAGGTATTAGTGAACCTGCTTTAGCTAGCGGGAGCTCCATCAGGAAAGCTGCACTTGTGAACTCAAGCAGATCAGAATTGACCATTTGGGACGTCAGAGGTGCACGGCTTGAGTATTCTCAAGATTACGAATCCCAGGATAATGTTCAAGATTTGGATTGGACTTCAACGCCCGATGATCAATCTATTCTTGCTGTTGGTTTCCGTTACCGCGTCATACTACTGGCTCAAATGCGATATGATTATCTGAATAAAGGGCCAGCGTGGGCAGCAATCCGAGAAGTCAATATCCGAGATTTGACACCCCATCCGATTGGCGATTCAACTTGGTTAGGAGGTGGCAACTTCATCGTTGGTGCTGGTAACCAGTTATTTGTTTATGATAAAGAGGTCGACTCGTCAGCATCAACTTTTCTACCTCCCCGTAAAACTCCTTGGGACCTCTTCGATATCGTTTCAAGGTTAAATGGTCCACTTCCGGTTTATCATCCACAATTTCTGAGCCAGTACATCCTTGCTGGAAAGAATTTATTAGTTCAGCATATTCTATTGGCACTATATAAGATCCTTAAGTATCACATTGAGGGTGAACCAATCGACTCCCACCTGGGGATGAATATAGAAGATTTCTACGTCAGCTCGGAAAATGCACCCTCAGCCAGCAAAGGAATCAAATCGACATTTGATGGCTTCTCCGAAGATGATGAGGTAGAAACCGTCACAGAGAGCGTTGCCGCTGCCATAACCGAGAAATTAACACAGATTGCTTTACCTCAACTTTCGAGGCAGGAGCAAATTCATCTGGCTGATATTGTTGAATGCGTTGCTATCGTTGAACGTCAACGTAGATCTATGGATGATAATGCCGCAAGATTTATGTTATTCTTCAGACAACATGTTCTACGTCGTGGTCGTGCAAATGAACTCAGCCTCTCTTGGAGGGAGATCAATTGGGCATATCATAGTAACAGTCAGGATATTCTGGTCGATATGGTATCAAGACAATTTCATGGAAGAATGCTTTGGGAACATGCACGGGAGAGTGGTATCTTTATGTGGATGACGGATGCAAATGCTCTGGTATGTAAATATTCTTTCTCCAACCCAAGGAAGCTAACAAAAAAACAGAAAGCTCAATTTGAAGTCATCGCTCGGAATGAATATACGAAGAGTGATCTCAAAAATCCCATAGATTGTAGTTTGTACTATCTTGCTCTTAAGAAAAAGACGGTGCTACAAGGTCTATGGCGTATGGCTGCGTGGAACCGTGAACAAGGTGCTACCACAAGACTTCTAGCAAATAATTTCTCGGAAAAGAAGTGGAGAACTGCAGCAATGAAGAATGCATATGCTTTACTTGGGAAACGTCGATTTGGTGAGTAATCCCTTGACTGTTCTCATTCAAGTTTCTAACCATAATCAGAATATGCTGCTGCTTTCTTCTTGTTAGCCGATTGTCTTAAAGATGCTGTCAACGTGATTCTGAGCCATCTCAAGGATCTTCAATTGGCCATAGCAGTTACTCGGGTGTATGAAGGAGAGCATGGACCCGTTCTCAAAGAACTTCTTGAAGAAAAGGTTCTACCATTAGCTGCTCAAGAAGGCAACAGATGGCTTGCATCATGGGCTTTCTGGATGTTACATCGTCGTGATATGGCCGTGCGAGCTTTAATTGTGAGAGCCTATCCTCTCCTTCCTCGAATATTTCCACAATACTAATCACCCCTCTAGTCTCCGGTCTACACACTCCTCGAAACCCCTCAATCACCAGATCTCAATGCCAAATTATTCCTAACTGATGATCCCGCTCTCGTAGTTCTGTACTCACAGCTTCGACAAAAAACCCTACAAACCCTACGTGGTGCCTCAAAGGTAACACCAAAAGTCGAATGGGCTTTTGTGCTACATAATTCGAGGCTGTATGATCGGATGGGCTGTGATTTGTTAGCATTAGATTTAGTTAGGAATTGGGAGTTTCTCCTTCCGACTAAACCAGATTTCAAAAGTTTTGATGGCGAAATCAATCCGAGAAAGATGCTAAGGAGGAGAAGCTCGCTAGTGGTGGCAGATTTGCCGGCTAGTGGGATTGGAATGGGTTCTGCGGCTAGGGATGAGAAAGACATGGCAAAAGGCCAACAAACCCATAAGCCACCGCCAACAATTTTCGAGGAACCGGAAGCGAACAGCTTGTTGGATAGTTTTGGGTTTTAGGTGCTGAAAATTCAGGGGTAACGGTTAAGGAGGACGTTTTGTGAAAGGCGTTTTATTTTTACTTCTACTATGTATTACATAATTACATATCCTACCAGATCTGGTCTTTGAAATGGGCGAGTTTCGTGGGTTTGGATGGATATTTAGGAGCGCAAGGTACATCGCGCTTGCATAGCGTATAGGTGTGATATATGGTAATATGATTTGAGTATCTATATTTTGTTGTTGAGTGATAATGTGGTTTCATGCTGGACCTGGATTTGAGGGTATAGTCTAGTTGATTTTGTGAGCTGATTGTGTAGTGCAGTGTTCAATGGTGAGAAGGCTGGCTGTTAGAGTATTCTAGTGGATATGGAATCTTTATTTAACTTGATTGTCTTGCTGATTCGTGATAGGGAAATGTAAGATTACTTTACTTGTAGTGAGATGTTCTGAGAGTTGTCGCTTACGAGATATGGTTTAGTGTTTTTTTCTGGAGCTATTCGACGGGGTTGGTTGGTGATTCTGTATCTTCTTAAAACGGAATATCACTCCTCAATACTCGATAATGAGTATTTTAGTTTCTATGATTATGAAGGTCGCGTATACATACATGATCTCATATTCTTCCACTCACATAACTGCAAGCATACATTATCACTCACTTCCCACGCGGAGTCTATAAGAAATATTCATATAGGGGTTTCGATACAATAGACGGGCTTCTTGAGTAATATGTGCTATTTATTGTTATTTTCAAGGTCATTATCAAGCCACGTTTTTGATGGGTGGGAGTCACTGTGTGGTGAATTTGATGGGGGTGTAGGTGGGAGGGTCATATCTAATACATTGTATACATGAATATGTCTTTTTCTTCTATATTCGAGTCATTGTTGGCGCCCATTTACAGTTCTCGAATGGATACAAAAGGGCTGGGCTCGTCTCTTTTGGAAATGAGTTTTGTTGAGTTGTATCCGTCCATTTCTACCTCAAAGATATCTAGCATCAAACGTATCATTCTAGTGTGTTGAATATTTCCAATCGAGCATCTTATACATACATTCCGTTACACATCTCAAACCTTGCAGCGTTGCTGCCAACTATTTTCTGTCTAAGCTTATTCTGAACTTCCTTCTCCCCTCTCCATATTCTCCAAATTCAAAAGCATGGAGCATCGTCTTACCGGTGGTCCCCAAGACCACCTAAATTACAACACCACTGTTGCATCCTCGAGCATAGGCATAAGTATGCTAGCATCCGGCTATGCGCCTGGCTCCGAGCCAATAGCACGACCCCCAAACGCATTAGACGATCCTGATTATTGCGCAGGATGCGGTACCTCAACGAACGGAAACCAAGATTGGAAGGAACAGCATTTACATTTTCGCAATGAGTGTAAATTGGGTTATCAGAATAACACTTGTCAATTCCCAAAGTATGTTACAGATGAGGAATGTTAAGTTTATGGAGCTGATGAGACTAGAATTCCGCCACCATTACTAGCATCGGATCCAAACGGTGATCATACTGCTTATGACGATTACTGGGGCAATTATGATGCTTATGTTAACGATACCCCTTCGGGTACTGTTCCCAACGATACGCAACAGTCTTTATACCCACAAGCGAGTAGTAGCGCACCTCAAGATGAAAATTACTACCCAGCAACAACTAATGGTATTGGTCAGAGTGGTTAGTACTCCTCGACGACTGGTGGTGTGCCTCGGCACGAACACTACTATCCGACCAGCAGTAGCGCTTCTCCAGGTCGGGGTCATACAAGTACCACACAGTATAGAGGTAGTGGTAGTCGTGGTTATCACGGTGCTAGAAATAATCAAAGAGGCTAGTGTGACCGTGGTAGCGAATGATAGATTAGCGAGCGTGATAGGGTTCGTGATTGGTGAAGAGAATAGAATGGAGGACTAGAATTTCGTCTAATTGTATAACAACAAGAATAAACTATCATAACCATCTTTCATATGAAGTCTGTAAATAGAATTGCAAATGCGATTTTTGAGTGATCTAGACGGTGTAGTTATTTCAAAATAATTAGATAATCATCTTGCTTCCATTCTCTTGTTACTCTAGAGTGAATTTAAAGAAAATATTATGATTGATTATATCGTTTAACTTACTCGACAATCATATGTGATCAGATCTCGTAGATAACACTCATTCAAATAGCAATCTCATTATAATTATTGTATTTTAAATATTGTATTTTATTTTAGATATTGTATTTTAAATATAGTAGAGTTCCATCAGGAGCCACACAGTATAAAGACTCATGGATAATATGTTTTCTTAGGCGGTTTAACCTATGAATATGTCACTTTTCCTCATATTTGAGTCACCCCAAATGCACATATCCATCTCTCAAACGTTTACAAAAGGACTGCATATCCTCCTTCTGAAATCGAGTTCTGTAGTTTCGCATCCGCTTCTACATTTGCATCTAAATCATACGTCTCAACAGTAACACATTTATGCACTTACATCGAGAGGACATCTATCAAATCGTCAACAATATATCCCATTAGAGAGAATCATACAACACATAGTACTCAGAATACCTCATACGAACATCCATTCGCACATATCGATTTCAGTGCCTCTTTGGCAATTATCCTCGGGGAAGATTTCCGGCATAATACGAAGAAATCCTACATTCTTGGTACCCTACAAATTAAAAGATATGTCGGATCAAGGTACTTATCACAGTAGTGGAGGTGATCCATTCGATCACTCAGCCTACGGTACTACCCAAATATCCGCCGGCACAGGCATGAGAATGCTAAGATCCGGATTTTCAGCAGGAAACGAGCCCGTACCACGAGTTGCAAGATCATTATATGATCCAGAACACTGTGGAGCCTGTAATGCATCAACAGAAAGTTCTGATGAACATTGGAAAGCAGAGCACATTCGCGACAATAGGGATTGTAGAGAGGCCTACTTGAACAGAACATGTCTATATGAGAATGACCTGTATGCAACAATGGAAGATCCTATTTATAGACCTGGAGAATATGTACCACCCCCTGGACTTCAGATACGAGAAACCCGGAATAATCCATCAAACCCTCCAGTTACCCAATCTGAAACTGAATCAAGTCAAGCTTATGTTATTCGAAATTCACCTCAATACCTCCAAGAACAGCAGCATTCAGATCAAGGACTTTCACCTAACGCTTATCAAATTAATCACCCGTCAGAATGGCTACAATCGACGTCTCATCATAGCCAGCCAGATCAGAGGTACGCCCAATATCCAACCGAGACGCATGACGACTCTTACACTAGTGATGTATCTCACAACTCTAGTCCCGCTTACAATGCGGAAGCGCAACGTGCTCCTGAGGCAACTGTTGATGCATCCCAAGGACGGGGGCATACAAGTACAACCCGGAATGATGATAGCCGCAGCCATAGTAGTCGCCGTGAAGGTAGTAGCCGAAGGAGCTAGAGTACTTATGGCCAAAAGGAACATTCAAAAATGTAATAGGGATTTCGTTTGCTATGGAGGATAGGATAGAATAGGTTAAAAGCTTGCCGAATTTTATAATCATAATAATAATAAACAACTATGATAATCACTTTCTGTATGAAATCTATAAATGATACTTATCTTTTGATTATCTCTAGTATTGTAAATGGTTTTGTCAAGTGACGTTTAGTATATATAGTTTATTAAAAAATCACTTCACAATCAATTCGACTCTATTTCCGAATCCTTTCAAAACGAAATCAAAGAAAATAGTAAAATTTATGCAAGTTTACTACTCGCGGATCTTTGGGCTCTCCAAGAGAGCTGCAATAGCAAGATTGGGATTGACAGTATTTTTGAACTCATCCCACAGTCACATATAATCCTATCCCGAAAACAATACTCTTGTAAATCTCATTTTTTTTATAGTCATTACATCCTACTCATTGATTTTCCATTATGAGCAACTCTATCTCGAGTAATAGAGTATCAAAGCCCATGATTAATGTATATTTATAACATTTATCTATGAATATATCTTTTTGTTCTCTTTTCGAGTCATATTGGCGTATGAATTTACACTTTTTGCATCTTTCGAATCATCTTAGAAGCACATTTTCAACACTTTTCCAGATCCCAAATGTGCTTATAAGCGCTGAGATCTCTTCTCGTGGGAGCACTTTCTGCAGACTTTACATCCACATCTATTCTTGCTTCTACTTTTACATTTAAGTTTACATGGGCATCAGAAAGGTGTTATTTGTAACGAAAAACCACAGAAAAAACTCCTACATCAAGCTCTTGTATTCTTCAAATCGGAAGCTATGTCGAAACGACACAATTCAAAAGACGATGCGAGACATCGTGGCAGAGATGAGGCATCTCGTGGTCGTGACCGTGGTGCCGGAAGAACTTCTCGTGGAACTTCGCGAAGAGAACCTTCACAGAGCTCATCTTCCACAACACAAGCTCGTAGTGGTGACGGAAGGTCTCAGCGTAGGTCAACGCGAAGAGAAGCCTCAGGGTCGGTCTCGCGATTTCAGTCATTCGGGCCTGCAGCCGGAATGGCGAGCATGAGCATGTTGTGTTCAGAATTTACGCCCCCAGTTGCACCAATATTAGATTCTGAACTAGCTATGAGAGACAGAGAATATTGTGGAATCTGTGGTGAATACAGGGAAGCACCGTCTCTTGAGGAGTGGTGGAAAAGGATACATTTTGAAGATAGCCCGGATTGTCTCACAGCTTATCGGGAAGGAAAATGTCCGGTGGAGAGGTCCGATGATCAAATCAAAGCCGAAGATGCCGAGGGCGAAGCTTTTCGTGAGAAAATTAACTGGGTCGGCCCGGAAAATACAGAAAACCCAGCCCAACCTCATGCTCCTCAAACGACTGATACCAGTGCCTGGAGCCAGGGAGCATCCCAGCCTTCAGCCCAGCCGCAGATCGCCAACCCCACTTATTCCGATCCCCAAAGGAATAATCTCTCCACCGTCTATAGTCCATCTGCTGGCTACGCTGCCCCTACAGTCCAGACTGGTAATACTGGCTACGTGCCTTCAAGCTATGCTTCCCAGCCTGCGCCTCACTACTCCGGCAATACCTGCTACATCCCTCCTGGCTCTATGCTCCCTCCTCCACTCCCCTCTCACCGCAGCAATACCGCCTATACTAGCTATACCGCTCCTACTAGACGGATCCCTACTGGCTTGAGCCCTCCTGGCTGTACTCCAGCTACCGGCTATCCTCTGCCTCCCGTTCACTACACCTCTTCTGATATTCCCTACGACACCCACCAACTAGCTCCATACCATCCTTCAATTAATGACCCATATCCAAGCGAGCAATACGCCTCGACAACTAGCAGCGCACGGCAAGTTATTGGCCAGCATGGTAGCAGTCATCACGGTAGCAGTGGTCATAGCCATAGTCATGGAAGTAGTGGTCATGGTAACCATACCAAAGAATAAGATATATGTTTGGGTATCGCTTGGGGGTTCTTACATTTCCTTACATTCGTGCCCAAGCATCTCCTTACATCTACCAAAACTATTTGTCTAAATATATTTAATACACTTCATTTGTTCCGAACCTTCAAATTTAGAAACTTCAATAGATTACATTACATTAGATTAGATTAGATCAGATCAGAGTTAATACTAATACACCTGCCTGCTTTTACCTATTTTACCAGTCCCAGTACCTGTGAATACTCATCCAATCCTCAAGAAATCCATAAGCTACAAATATCAGATGATTTCATAACGCAATACCAATCCATATCTAAGTAAACGAATTACAGCCTCAAATTTCTTAGGTATAATTATAACAGAGTATGTTTCTCTTATGATACACTTGCTCCCCATCCCCATCCCTCAACACTCATCTAGTCCCCCCCTCGCTTAATCACCCACGAGAGCCACCTCACCAACACAATCCCAAAACTCAACAACATTTTTCCAACTCCGTCAAAATAGAGTAGTTTTGACAGAGTAGATAATCACCTAACACCTAATCCATCCATCAATCAAGCTGTCCCTTAGTCCCTTACTCTCCACCCTCGATCGAGATTCGAAACGCTAAAAACGAAGTATACAATTCGTCTATTTTTCAACAATACATCAACACTACACAAGATGAATGAAAATTCTATTTTTGAATAAAAAATCAGTAAGAGGGAGAATGATAGTAAGAGTAATAAGGAAAGTGATAGTAATAGCCGAATCTAACTCATACCCCTCCCTCCTCCTCCCTCTTTTCCTAACCCTAAGAATTCAGTAAACACTCACTCTCACCCTCACCCTCCACAAAAAAAAAAAAAAAAAGGTCATAAACCATCACTCACATCAGCAGTCCCCCTCTACAAGAAAGTAACCATCCCACACACACACAAAATAAAACCCAAAGTGAAGTAAGTATATCATTTATCATCTATCAACTATTAAACTATCCATCTAAGAACCTGCTTGATCCAGACTAATTTTCATCTTTCTCGTATATTTACTAGCTTGCCCCTTTACTTATCCCTTCGTCTCTCTATTCCTCCATTCAACTATTTGTGAATATATGCTCCAGCCAGATATATATCATAGCATATGACTATGTACCAGCGCGATGCCATGCAGATAGCAACTCGAGAAACTCAATGCTCGTTCCCTGTGCAAATAAATGATCCCACCAATCAAACTCCACGCCCAAGGTATCAAGACAAAGAAAAAGAACCGTAAATAGAGTCTCCCCCTGAAAAAAGAAAATAAAGAGAAAAGGTTATTTCATCATCTGTAGAATTTCCCCCCACACTATGAATAAAACTGCAAAACCAATCAGGAAAGCCAATTCAATAAACAGCAATCAAGCAATCAATTGTGGCATATCCTTTCCCTCCGGCTTCGCACTTCCCTCTTCAACCACAACCTGTCTCTCATCATGTCCTGTTTCCGGATGAACCTCTTCCTCTTCCTCATCGTTTCCATCAATCCCCTGTTGTCTCCTAATTTTATCTTCCTCCAATTCCGCTGCAACTCCTTTCCTAGGTCTTTCCGCGTTCTCCAATTCCTTCTTCTGTCTTTTGAATACCGCCTTAACACCCCCTCTATCCCCTTTCTTCTTCGCCTGTACTGCTCTCTCCGCAGCTCCGACCCCCTCAAACGCTCCGTTTGAACGCCACGTCCTACGTTCTCGCATAACCTTCAATTTCCCCTTCAATCCTATTCCCCCGTCGCGTTTTTTCTCATCCATCAATTTCCATACTTCTTGTATGACATTCCATCCATGCGTAACTCTCTCTTCAGTCCCCTTTCTCCCATTTGAATCTCCATCGAGTAAGTTTATATCTCGTTGCCCCTGGAGAATTCTCGCTCTTCGGATAAACGCTGTGGGTTGTTTGTTCTTCATCATTTCTTTATGGACACCTTTTAATGTATATCCGAAAGGCCCAACGATGGCGCTAATATCCTTCAACACGAAACCCGTTAGACCCATTCCTACACCCTTTACAAACCCTAATGCGCCGTGATCTCTAGCTCCGGTATATGGTTGTACTACTAATCCAGTAACGCCATCGTAAATGCCAAAGATGAATTCTTCTCCGGCAGCCTTCAATCCACTCTTCATACCCGTGATTCTTGTTGGTCTTCTTACGGTCGTGTCTCCATATAAACGAGGGGCATTATGGAAACCTTGAGCGAGAGCAAGTGCTAGATCCATGGGCGCACGAGCTACTGCTTCCGCTGTTTCACCAAAACCATGCCCGATATCTTTAACAACTTCTTCGGCTTCGTTATGTATGGGGTCGGAGGAGAGCATGGATTGATTATCGATGTTATTTTTGGGCCGTGAATTTTTTTGTTCCTCGCGATTAGCTTGACTGTATTGGCGAGTCGGTTCACCGCTTGTAGTATGATTTGCCATACCAGCATCACATGGAGAATTCATGGCAGCCTCAGGGCTGGTATCGTGTGTTTCCGTTGCTGAATCCATATTTCCAGTCTCTTTGGATGGGTTAGCGATTTCATCTTGATGACTCTCTTCTTGTATCGTTTGATTGTTAAGCGTAGAAGTATTCGAGGTATTGATATTCTCTTGAGAACCAGGTTTCTTTTCAACAAGAGTGGTGCCACTTCCACTTCTCCGTGTATCTTCCGATTTCCTCTTCTTTTTCTCTTCATGCATACTTCTTTTCTTGATAGTCTTTCTGACCTTAAAGGGTATACTACCTACACCAGCAGCAATCCCCGTAACAGTACCTGTAACAGCTGTTGTAACACCGCTAATAGGTTCGCCTGGTCCTTCGAAATCATTCCATTCATGATGTCTAATGAGTCTCAACTGTTTCCAAGTGATTTTCTTCCTTTCCACTAACAATTCAGCAGCCAATGCGCTCAATCGTAAATTGGTCCCTTTCATGGTCCAAACCGCCACTCGATCTTCCAAAATTGAACAGCGCATAGAATGTTCGCCTCGGAGCGTAAGACTTCGATGAAATGACTTTACTGCATTCTGTGCACCGTCACCTTCAGCTTCAATATCCTTGGCGATCTTCTCTACCGCTTCTCTAGCTTCGTCCGACAAACACTGCTTGATACCTTCTGCTAATTTATCAGCTGTCAATTCCTTGTAGGGAACAGGATCTGCTCCAGCCCCTGCAGTACCAATCATAGATCCCCAGAACTGTTGATCGCCGAAGAATGGAACAATCATAGTCGGTTTTCCACACTTAAGGCCTATCGCAGTCGTTCCAGCACCGCCATGATGCACCACCGCCTTGACTTTGGGAAAAAGCCAATCATGCGGTGTATTATCGAGCATGAACACATTCTCTGGCGTATTTTCATCACCAAGGCCACCCCATCCTTTTGAAACTAATGCTCTCACTCCAGCTTTTTTCACAGCTTCAAAGATCATCTCGGTAAATCTGTCAGGATCATCAACAACAATAGAACCAAACCCAATATAGATTGGTGGCTCTCCATCATCAAGAAACTTGACAAGATCGTCCGGTGGTGTGAATTTATTGGCTAGATCAAGGAAAACAAAACCAGCAATATCAATTTCTGGTCCCCAATCTTTGGGTTTGGGCACGAGGCCCGGTGACCACAAGTATGTATATGGAACTTTGAGACGATAAAGTTGGCCTGGAGCCCATAACGTTGATACCGGTTCTAGACCCAAAGTCTTGACTCTGAAATTATTGACTAGATCACCTAATCCTTGCCAAGTCATCATTTCCACCAACGGATAGGACATAAAATTCGTATAACCTGGATCGACATTTGTTTTCTTGATGTTTGCCAAAGGATGTGGAAATGCTTGCGTTGGAGTATATGGGAATGTAAACATGAGATGTAGAGGAATGCCTAGTCGTTCCGCGCAATGAATGTGTGCAAAACATGGAGGGTTTGCTATAATAGCATCTGCAACAAATGGCGCCTTATGTCCCATCATTTTGAGATTTGTGACATCCCTTTCCTCGTCTGTTGCATTAATGCAAGCTCGCCAGAAACCTTCAAACATTTCAGCCATTTGCTCTCTTCGCCTTCCTACTTCTCCTTTCTTGAGAGTATCCATTGTCGGTATCATTCCTGGATTTTTGACCATAAATGCCATGAGCTCTGCAGGGTCTCCTCCAACCGAGAAAAATTCCAGCCCAGAATCGTTCTGCACGAAATCTCTGAAGGCGGGATGGGTTGCTATTCGTACTCTATGCCCATACTCCTTCAAATTCTTTCCCAGCTTTAGAAATGGTTGAATATCGCCACGACTACCAATAACCATCACAACAATATTCAACCTCGGCCTGGGTATATTTGAAGTGACTACTTCTTCCGCTGAAGATTTTGAGAGTTTTCCTCGTTGACGTCGGGCAAGGTTGGCTTCTGGTGTTTCGCCCGTCATGTCATCATGTCCTGCATTGTTGAAGAAAGTGGCGCCCAGTGCTTTTGCGAGATATCCTCGATTACTTGTCTCATTGAAACTGATGTTTAGTCGTCCATCTCTCTTCGATACCTTTCCCCTAGTACTGTAATCATCATTTCCAACCCGGAATTTGTTATATTGTTTCCTGCCACCCGTATCGACCGCGTTCTTCTTTCCCGGTATATAGCTTCTCTTTTTCTTCTCCGCTGGAATATCTTCCTCGTCCTCACTGCTACTGCTACTACTACTACTACTACTACTACTACTACTACTTGTAGATCCGTCGTCTTTGTAATCGGGACCTCTACTCCAAATTGCTTCATTCAACAATGACGTATTTGTTTCTCCTCTTTTGTAAGCTGGTGCCAGCAGAGATGATTTCGTGGTCGCTCGCGGCCTTTCGGTCTGCAATACTTTCGCAGGTGCAAGGTTAGGTCGTTTTTCCTCTTCTTGTTTGACGTTATGTGTAATATTCGTAGCAGGAAAATCTGTTCCGGTGGCGGACAATGATCTCGATTTCTGTGGAATTTGTGCAGGTCCATCTGCAATTGTCGGCCGACCATTAGCAGTCATCTCTGTCGATGCTCCCGACATGATATTATGTATTCAACATTAGAGACATAAAAGAATTTGTGATGATGATGATGATGATGATGATGAAGAAATAGAAAATCTTCGCCAGATTCAATTTGCCATTGACAAATATAAATTGACAATAGCACAGAACAAAGTAAAATGGTATCAAGGAAGAGGTGAACGACTTCGCAGCGAAGAGACGAGACTCTAGATATGAGATGTGTAACTGAGGTGCTCGATTGAATACCAGTAGCAAGTGAAACACCTTCTTTATTCCGATATCAACCTCAAAAATTTCAGTAGAGACAGTTGACCTTAGTTCAATTACTTGACATTCAAGAAGAATTGGGAGTAAATGGTCCGCGCTTGGAATTTGAATCTTTCTTGATAAAGTTTACCTTGGCTCACCTTGGTTTACCTCTACTGACCTAAATTTCCTGTGCCGGATCCAAACCAAGTTAGATCTCAACACATAAATTCCAGAAGTAGTATCGTGCAGGAGGTTATGATCCGCAGTGTGGCCTGTTAACCTCAAGAGTCGGGTTCCTCAAGTTCCTCAGCATAGAAAGGGAGAGAAAAAGTTGCCATCGTCATAGTAATATATTCCCTACAAAATAAGATCTGCACTAAGCCACTTTCGGTTTCAGCCACAACCTTGATTTGACTCCTTGTCCTTGAAAAAGTCCCGGTATGGTATGGTACGTGGAACGAAAACACTTTCTCGTCCGTAAGAAACGTCATACATACATGTTGATTCAACTACCGGCATTTAAGGTTGCAGCAATGAATCAATGAATCCAATCCAATAAGGGATTAGAATCTAGAACGCTTTTGGATCATCTTCATTTGGTTCCTTTATATCCTCAGATACCTAGGCAGGTAGTTTTCTAACGCAATGATGATATTCCCATTGTAAGTGACCTACGCTTCCAACACTTCTAATAATATAAAGCTTTAAAAGATACTCTCAATTCGTAACTCTACATTGTTTCAGTCTATTCGTTAGCCACATAATAACATTACCTAACAGAACGCGCATGTACATACACGCACCTCTTTCCCGACTATAATAAACCATATTTATCTAGCGTTACTCACCCTCGCATTCATAAGGTTGTTTGTTAGGTAATGATTCTACTACTCCATATTGTCAAAACACTCCCTCGTCAAATACCAATATTAACATTGTTTGCCATGAGCACAACCCACAACAAAGTAACCCTAACAAGGCTCCCTTGAATCCCATAAATCTCATCTTATTCATCATCCTCTAACCTTCCTTCATCACTTCGAGTCTGCCAATTCCTCATCTCAGCATTACGAGCTCTAACTCCATCAATCCAACTCTGTTCATCATCACCATTTTCCCTCCCACCATAGAGACCTCGAAAACCATCATCTGACATTCCTGCTGGCGAACCTGACCTCTGTCTCGTCCGTCTCGCATCAGTCACATACATCCATCTTTGGCTGGAATCTTGATGGAAAGAGTCGCTGGGTCGAACTGGAGTTGATGCTCCGTGCTCGGTAAGGAAGTTTCTCAATCGACCCATGGATCTAGTTGTGGGTGCAGTGTAAGATGGATGATAACGAGATTGATGTCGAGCTTCGGGTAAGTGGGCTGGGGTCTGAGGTTGAGATGCTGCAGGAAGAGAATCATTGTACACCGAGTATCCCCTGGATGGAGTATATGTTCGGGGACCTGTATCACTGTCTCTTCTTGGAGTTGGCTGTGGTCGCGTGAGACGTCGACGTGGCGATGGAGAAGGTGAAGGAGGAGGGGAATTGCGTGAGGGTGAGCGGGAACTGGGACTCGAAAACAAGCGTGCAGCAGCTCTGACAATAGGATTCAATCGTCGACGCCCAACGGACTATTGCGCAAGGAAGGTTAGAAGAGGTGAAAGTATAGAATCAAGCAAACTTACAGGTGGGCTTGATGCTTGCCTCTCATCATGCTCTCGGATTAGTTGACTAATAACGGAGCTTGAGACAGAGATCTTCCTGGAAGGACTGCCTGAAGGGCCACCCGAAGAACTCCTAACAATGCTGGTGGGTGAAGTTTTGCTTTGATATGCATCTGATGGGGAGCTTGGGCTTGATGCTGCCCTTGAATCCGACCTGGAAACAGTTGAGAATGGTGGTGGTAAATGTAATTCTCTGGAACGACGAACGGAAATGGCTGTTGATATTATTGATTGCTCTGCAATTGAGACAAGACTGTGGGGATCCATTTCTTCATCGCCAGTGGGCTCATAAGTATTTGTCTTTCTTTCAAACTCTTGTGATTGTATTAATACCTCTCGGTCTGACGGAGGATGCTCTTGACTACGAACGGAACTTGAAAATGAAGGTATTCGAGAACTCTGTAAAGAACTTCCACGCAATTCTTGACGAAGATTGAGGCTTTCCGATGGCCGTGGTCGACTATCGGTTGTAGATGAAGATAGAGCTCTCTCTTGTTCGTAAGCGACACTAGATCTTTCCGAATCATCAAATGAAAAGCTGTTCGTTTGGTGCCTCAATGTGCGAGGTTGACGTGTAGATTGAACATGAGGGCTAGGTCCAGGGCGTCGGGCTGGTTGCGCAAACAGAAACCCTGGAGTATTGTGCGAAGCTATGCGAGACACAACTCTAGGGGTCAAACTAGCTGTAGTCTACAATGTTAGAGAGTTAGTAATGAATCTCAGAAAGACATCTAAAAGCAATCAAACAGATTTGATGGTGAAGGGTGTACTTACATGTCGCTCTGGTGAACTTGATGCATTTTGTGCCAAGAATAAAGGTGAGCGTGGTAATCTTGTACGAGCTTGTAGTCTCTGTGCTGCCGGTGCTTGAATGTGAGGAGTTGTCGAAGCATCCTCTGGTTCTAAGATATATTAGTGATCTTGCTATGTTTTGATCAAACTAATGATTTAATGAATATTCAATATTCAAAGCTTTTGCGTGATGATGCTGGTTGTCTTGTAGAGTACAATCTTACCGAAAGGTGAAGATCCTCGACTCTGGTCACTTTCTTGCTGACTAGGGCTTTCAACAAACCCGCCGTAGTCGAAGTTGTCTTTGGAAGGGGAAGAGAGCCGCCTAACACCGGAGTTCTCGAAAGATTCATCGCCCGCTTCAAGCTCTACCGACTCTTGGCTACTTTGGGTCTCCGGCATCTCAAATACCTTTCCACGCCTCGCATCTAGCCATTCTTCGAATGTCTCCGACTTTCTGACATTGTACATCTCGGGAAGCTCCGCTTCGAACGAAGAGCCATCTACAAATTGATGATTTGTAATTGTACCATCAGAAGAGCGAGGTGATGGGTTTTCCCATTCCGAAACATCAGAATCCTGAGCATGAGAGGGAGCATGAGCAGGCATTTGTATAACACATTCCAATGGAAGAGGAGATGCAAGTCTCGGGGTGTTGTGACTCTGAACCGGTCCTTGATTCGTTTGGTTTGTGAGATGACTTCCATCGGTGCTTGCTATTGTATCAGCAGATGGACCATAGATTCTGCTTCTGTGACTGATGGATCTAATTGGTAGAATAATCTGATGTTTGAAAGGCGCGGCTTGTGGATTCAGCTGCAACTTGGCCCGACGTTTTGTGCGTCTGTCGTAGTCCTTAATGTCACCCAAACCAATGGTTATGAGGGATGGAGGTAGTCGAATCATAACTATCTTGGTGACTGAACATGGGATTGAGAAGGGAGAAAGATTGACGTGCTGTGCAATCTTGACGAGAAGCCATTTGTTCATTTCGGGGAGAGATTGTGAAGGTGGTCCACCGGAAGGGGATCCGCCTGAAGAGGAAAGAACTATACACCCATCGTGAATGGAAGGATAACATGGATCAACTTTGGATCTCTCGAACCATTGTTTGATGAGAAGGAAAGAACAAACCAGAATAAAGCGATGCAAAATAACATATCTCCATTGGTAGCCCAATCTACTTAGATTCTAGGATAATAATGCTGTACGTACAAGTTGCAAGTAAGGATAAATAATGACATGACATGGCATATAGAGATTTCTGTGAAGGAGATTGTTCTGCATGACTAAAAGATGCATTCCCGAAGTGGCTTCTCAGAAGAAAGAGGAACAGGATTTTCTAGTTATTCGATGTCAGAACTCGGGAGATCCCAATGGTCAACGGAGGTTTAAAGGGTTTTTTGTGTGCTATTAATAGCCAACGTTTTCGAATCTATATCAAACAAGCTTGGTCAAATCAGCAATAAAGCATAAAGCATTGATTTAGTGAGATAAATCATCATCGCACGGAAGAACGATAGAGACGGTATATGAGAACAAGTTCGTGGTAGTTTGATTTTCATAAAGATAACAGGTGCATTGCTAGGTAATTAGCTACCTAGCTCGTAGTAATCAATGGTATGGAAGAAGTGGCTCGAAAGTGGTACCTGATTACCCGTGGACTACCTACCTAATAAGTATTTAACTTAACCTCGGGTGGCTTAAGGCGGCGTTCAATGCATATATATACACTGCAGGACAATAAAAGGAGCAGCACCTGGGCAGTCCTTTTTATGCGAGGAACAGATTTCGATGAATGAATAATGAATGTAAAATTGTTACACATGAGATGGTATGGTAGACTGACAATTATCGCAGGGACATCTCACAACCATCTCCAGAACATCTAAGATGACTAATTCGAGAGAGAACTGTGCTGGCAATATTCCACTGATATGTGACTACTGACCAACTACTCCGTACATGATGAATCCACACCCATCCATACAAAAGTATACGCATCTCCCTATCAGAAGGTGCTGTGATGTCTCTGATTTGATTGATGAATGCTCCCGTCTGTTCAAATAACAACGTATGCCCACCTAGGTATGTACCTCCATCCCCTAGTATCTTCACAAGCCATACATATGGTATACCGAATCTATGCAATTACCACCACCTGGCTTGTTCTAAAGTCTCCGCGTATTATTGTATTCGAGAACAAAGTAGCCAAATATAGCTCTTTCCTAATGATTATCCATCCCTCAGCCTCCCAATCCATCCGCACATATCCGTATGTCTATACGAACATCCATACGAACATCCATACGAAGTACTGTCTTCTCTGTCAACTTCTTCACCTAGAACTCGATACACTTGAGTATCTCTAACCTTCTTTCCACTCTCACTCACTTACTCACCCACTCACTCACTGCCTCACTACCTCACTACCTCACTGCCTCACTACCTCACTACCTCACTGCCTCACCCATCACTACAGCAGCGGTAGTCATTTGGAATCGATGGAACACCAGAAGATCTTTTGAGGTCTTCATTTCGTTTGTAATTAAATGTTAGTCGTCACTACTCACTCTCAAGTCCCAATTCGGATGAAGATTGGATTTAATATAATGAATCAATCATCCTTATTTTCCGGATCTCAGCCGTCCTGGAAGAGTGAGTTCAATGAAAACGAAGAGCAGCATAATGTATGTATAATCGCATGTATATCATATCATATTATACTACCACTCCGACTATTATCATTATTATTATTATTGTTGTTGTTTCCTCATGATCTGTACTCGGTAGTTTGATTTCTCCGTTATTATTTCTATCTTTGGATCACCCCAGTAAAATAACTCACCAAGAATCTTAAAATCAGACCTACATGCCCGGACACGGTACATACCTACACCAAAGCCACAATAGCGTACGCAGATCAAGCAACATTTTGACTTGTGTGTCGTACGGATACATATTCATTCAATCCCAGATTCAATAATAAAAAAAGTTTAGGACTACCAAGACTCACTCATATTCGATTCATTCGTTAATTATTCCTTTCTGCGTGGGGAATTGAATTATACCTACTACATTTCTATTTCTCATTTCGCTCGCTCAACTCACATCCTGCCTTTCCTTCCATTTCCCATTTGCCATTTGCCATTTCTACCTACTCATACCATCCGCTAGAACAGCCAGGACCGACCTTGTCAAGATTGGCATTGGGATGATATAGTCTAGGATCAATTTCGCTGCTTGACGGCCTTTTACCACGCTACTGTTTGGTAAATTCCTCACAACGACGAAATAGGGCCATTATGGAGAACGATTTATCCCTATCCCAATCCTTAGGTGGTTTGCGGATAGCTAATCCTGATGATGCATCGTCTGGTACATCAACTCTAGAAACATCAAATGATCGCAATCACGAACATACAAATTACGAATCGACAATTATGCCATCTCAAGCCGCAGATTCGACCTCTTCGGAATCCAAGGACGCGCGGAAAACTCCAGATTCCCAAACGCAATCAAAACGACATTCCATCTTTAATATCCTCCGACGTGGCTCACCTACCGACCCTTCTTCGAACTCTACGTCCACCTCCGAATTTCCACAAACTTCAGATCCGAAACGCCCGAGTTCACGCTCGGTATCGAGTAGTGGTGAATCTACAAAGGTGCAGGCGCAACAAGAGCCTCTGCCAAGACCCGTTGCAGCGAAGCCATATCGACAATCAATGCCCATGAATCATCAATCCCAACAACAACAAGCATTTCCCCCATATCAACCACATCCAATGCAGAACGGAAATCGAGCATATCCTCCTCCCGGAGCCACTCGACCAATCTCAGGTGTCTACGCAGCGCAACCCCCTCCAAACGCAATTCCAAATAGAGATCACGGATCATACAGAGTGAGAAGCGAATCTTCGCAATCTTCAGTACACGGGGGAATACCGTCAAGGAGTGATTCAAGGTCGGCAGCCACAGCAATGCAGGCAGGAGTGCCCTCGAGAGAAGCGAGTCATAGAGAACGATCCTACAATAACAGCCTCAATATGCCACCGGGTAACGGGCCTGTGCCACCAAGGCGAACTTCTAGAGGAGTGGGCGGGGGTTACGATAACACGGCACATTCCATGGCTGCTGCTAATACACATTACGACACCGAAGGAAACGTGGTCACCGCTGAAGAATGGAAAGTTAGAGGTGCCGCAGTCGGTGTTCGCGAGGAGGTAGATGCGGATGGAAAAGTGCACTTGAAGCAAGTAAGGAAGGGAGTGCAAGATTTTATCTTTGGACGAACATTAGGAGAGGGCTCATACAGTACTGTGTTATTCGCAACCGACCGTCAGACACTAATAGATCATGCCGTGAAGATCTTGGACAAGAAGCACATAATTAAGGAGAAAAAGATTAAATATGTTAATATAGAAAAAGACACTTTGAATCGGTTATCAGACCACCCAGGTAAGCAATATGCCACCGGCTGACATGTATAGGAGTGCCATCAAGGTGTCTTTTTCTTGTTATTCACACATCCCATCACAGCGCCATTTTATTCTGACATTCCACATAGGCATCATTCGATTATTCTTCACCTTCCAAGATAGCGCATGTTTATACTATGTCCTTGAGTACGCTAGCGGCGGAGAATTGTTGGGAGTACTGAAAAAGATTGGATCATTTGATGTGGAGTGTACAAGATTCTACGGTGCTCAACTTCTCGAGGCAATAGACTGCATGCACCAGAAGGGCGTGATACACCGAGATCTGAAACCAGAAAACGTTCTATTGGATGATAAAATGCACATCAAGATCACTGACTTTGGAACTGCTAAATTACTCCCCGCTCCTGGCTTATCGAAGCCATATGACATAACTAGCAATAGCGAAGATGAATCGACAAGAGCAAGTTCTTTCGTTGGCACAGCAGAGTACGTCAGCCCTGAATTGTTGACGGATAAAAATGCTTGCAAAGCTAGTGATCTATGGGCGTATGGGTGTATTATATACCAACTCTTGGCTGGACGACCTCCATTCAAAGCTGCGAATGAATACCTAACCTTTCAGAAGATTGTCAGTTTAGAGTATGAGTTTCCCCCAGGATTCCCTCCTGCTGCTAGAGATCTTGTCGAAAGGCTCCTTATTCTTGACCCACAAAGAAGATTATCGATTGAGCACATCAAAAACCACGAATTTTTCGATGGAGTTAGATTTAGTCGCGAACTGTGGAAGGTTAAAGCCCCCAGACTAAAGCCGTATGTTCCGCCGGCACAAGAACCTCAATTGATCATGCTCAACAATACATTTTCAACCACACCTCCAGCATCTCGAATACCACCACAACCTACTCCATTAAACGGCAACTCAAGGCCACAACCCAGAATAATTACTGAACTCCCCCCACCCACTCAGCTGGATATCGAATGGTCGCCCGTATTGACACGGAACAATGAACGCATCTTGAAACTAGGAAATTTAATGGTTCTATCGTCGCCGTTACCACATAGTCCCAACTCCAGGAATGGTGAAGAGGTTCCTGAAAGGAAAGGAGGATTTGCCAGATTTTTCGGAGGTTCAACGACCAAGAAAAGAGCAAGGCTTGTGATGGTCACATCTAGTGCGAGAATTATTCTTGCTGCTGCGGGAGGCGATGAGAAGAAAACTAAAACAGAAATTTCCTTGCTGGCTTCCGATTGCTCATGGAGAGTGCAATCTGATTCAAAGGGTCAATCTGTGTGGTGCGTGGACACAGTAAGTCATTCTAAGCCTAGTAATCTACTCAATAGTAATAATAAACAGCGCGGGACGCATTATACATTTGAAGATACTAAGACTTCAACAACCGCCAATGATCCTTCGAAAACATCAGCACAGGAATGGATTGAAGCCATTGAGAAAGCCAAAGATATGGCTTTATCACAAAATATGGTTGGCTCTTATAACAGTGACGCTGGATTCGATATGTCGTCCGCCGCCACGAGTCCTACTAGCACTCTTCATGGACCAAGCATCTATCAAGATAGTTATGGTCCTAGCGATCGGTCAGGTCGAAATCATTTAACCAAAAGTCAAGCTAGCCTTGGAGGAGAAGAATCCTTAGGCGACGCTAAAAAGAAGTCACATCGTTTCAGTAAACGGCAATCTAAGAACGGACTTTCAACACCCTTCTAATGGTTGTCCGTGCGGCTCAAAAACGAGATTTGTCGAGTTTTCGAGTCAATTAGGGTGGGAATTGGACCTAAATCCTGAGACTTCCGCAGCACGGCAATTCTAGAGAAACACGAGTTCATAAATTTATCCCATTTGTCACACATCAAATGATGTATTTTCCAATCATTGTCCATTTATCGATCGGCATTTGCTAGCGTGGCGCAAGGTCTCGGGATTTTTTTTTACTTGGTTGTTGCATCTGAAGTGCAGCATTTGATAGCCCTTTCTTTCTCGGTTTCACGGAGCAGGAAGCTATTTATAACGACTTGACATGAATTTCTGTTACTTTTACTTTTCTTTGCAGCTATAACTCTCAGCTGCTACATTACTCCCTCAACTTTCGCCTTCAAATCCTCCGTGCGTCCACCCTCATTTCTTCGCTACGGTTTGTCGTGACGCAGAATAACCAATGGTCTTCACATATTTGCATCTGTGAAGCAAATGTATTTGAGGCTTGGGTATTTTGGAGAGTTTGCTCTCTTCCTTGTTGAGCGTTATCCCATCTCAGCTTTCTTGTACACGGCGAATCTTTGATTTCGACGGATTTCATCCTACTTCTTTCTTTTGTTACAAGTGACAGCTCGTGTTTGAGAATCATG